CTCTCTCTCTCTCTTTCTTTCTCTTTCTCTCCATTTCTGATCTTCTCTACGAAAATATAATACCTTCTAGTCATGTGTGACCAACATTGCTGTTTTTATTTTATTTCTTTTATTTTTCAGGTCTATGTTTATCTTAGTTACGCGTTTCTGTGACTTCAGTCTACGAGATGGAGGTGCATAGAAGAACCATGCGCGCTGTTGTTGTTCTCTTGTTTTGGTTGAGCATTGTCTTTGGGCAACGCTCAAGACCAAGAGAAGGTAAGTGGGCGGGTTTTTTTTTAATTTTTGATTTTTGGATTTTATGGGTGTGTTCGGGGGGGGGGGGGTTAATACTTTTTCCTTATTGTAGGTGTTTTTACATTGCCATCAACACAATTTAGATCATTTAGGAGATGGCTTTGCGTATGTTTTAAATTTTAATGCACATGTTTTTAAACCCCATCATCGCAATTTAGATAATTTAGGAGGCAGGTTTTCCCCACTCAGGAATGGAACTCGGGTCTCCTGCGTGCGTCAGCGAAGGGTTAAACCGCAACACCATAGACGCCGGATAAGTGTGTGTGTCATTTGTCTGCCCAGTATGCGTGAAATGAGAAAGTCAATGCTCGAATTGCAGATGAGAGGAGCTTGATTTTTTTCAGGCAGCATTCGACAATTATCTAAGGTAAAGAAGTGGCCAGCGGGTGGTTGGCGGGTGTTCTAGTATGGTTTGATCCTTCTTTCCTATCAAACATCTGTCGTCCTATCTCTCCTCGTTCTTTTTTTCTTTTCTTTTTTTTTTGTATTTATGACTTGATCTCTTGTAACACCTCAAAACCATCGGCACTTATATGACCTTATTGTGTTGCAAGGGCTTTAAAACTCTTCTTAAAAGTAAAAGAAACTAAAAGGAAGTGGCCTGGGGAGGGGTAAGCATTAAATGCAGTTTTCAAGTCTGTTATTGTTTTCCTATGGAATCATCGTATTTGTTTAGATAAATTCAAAGTGTATTACCCTCTTGCCAAAGGGTTGTACACAAACAATGTGATGTTTTCAAGATTTGACTAAACAAAAACAAAAGAAAAAAAAACCCCAAACTATCAAACAAAAATTCATTCCAAACAATCAAGCAACTGTATGAGGCAAATGCCGCTTAGGTACTTTAGAGAGCCCTTAGGGCAAGGCTGGTTTCAGCTGCCATGCTAATAAAAAAGATATTGAGCGGAAACAGTATACATTTAGTTTGATATGCTCTTGTTTGTTTTTGTTTAGTTTTGGGGAAGGGATTTTGGGGGTTGGTTTTTTTTGTTGTTTTGTTGTTGTTGTTGTTTTGTTTTGTTTTTCTTGTTTCTTGTTTCTCACTTCAATCTGTGATGAACTGAGCAGGACGGCCCAATTTATGACAGATACCGGACTTCAAGTGTGGTACAATTGAGAAGAAGAAGACTTCAATCAGTGATTTTGCCGGTCACCCTCCCTCCCCCCCTCCTTTTTTCTGTACATATGAATGCAGAAACAAGCATGCAATTTCTCTCTCTTTCTCTCTCTCTCTCCTCTACTCTACTCGACTCTAGTCTCTCTCTCTCTCTCTCTCTACTCTCTCTCTCTTTCTACTCTACTCTCTCTCTCTCTCTCTCTCTCAAACACACACACACACACACACATACACACACACACACACACACACACACACACACACACACACACACACACATACACAATGTCCACAATACTCTTTGTCTCCTTCTTTTTGAAGGCTAATTAATTGTCTGTTTTATATACATCTTCATAGTGAAGTACACATCTCGGATATTTTCTGATTTTGGTCTCTCTCATGCGTACCCATCGGTTTTGTGGAGTAGAAATAAATTCTTTGAAATTCGTTCTGGGTACAGTGTGACGCTGTTGATTTGAAAAATTACTTTCTGTCAAAATAACTCACAGTAGACAATATCTGACCAAGATTGCGGGGGTGTAGACATTGTATTCCTTTCTTTTTTTTTAAATCCAGAAGTTAAAACCAAAATTTAAAGATGGGTCTGAGTCTGAGCGTCTAGGTCTGATTTGATGTAACTTTCAAAGTGTTGGGACAAAATATTATCAAGTGTTCTTGATGTCTCTTTCCACTTATCTCGTTAAATATCAAACATTGTTTGTTTATTCCAAGTGTCTTGTTAATATTTAGGCCATGTTTTTCTTTTAAATAGCTGACAACCCCCCGGGGCAGTGCCACTGACTGAAGTGTCTTTAGGCCATTCCCAAAGGGGGGACATATCACGTTCAAGCATAGTAGAATTGTAAATGGGTTGACTCATGTCACACTCATATCTGTGCCTGATCTACAACAGGGAACTGCTGCTTTTTCTTTCCTGATCCTTACTATTGTCATTCTCCTCTACTTCTTTTGTATGTTTGTCACTCTCTTGTGACCTGCTATTTTGGGGTGCCTTGATAGTCGAAGCAGACTTTGTGCTGTTGAAGCTAGAGCAGTGAGCAGTCTAAGTCTGATTCCCTGTAAAGACTTCTCTGTTGACACCCACCCTTTGGCGCTCATATGACCTTATGCAGTTGCGAGCGCTGTAAAACCCTCTATTATAAAAAAAATAAATAGCTGACAGCTGATGATTTTTTTGTTTTGTTTTTCAGATTACACACTAGATGGCGAATGTTTGAAAGATGACTTAATAAAACAAAATGAGCGTTTGAGTTTTTGCTTAAATGGAAGTAATCTGGCCATAGGAAGCCAAAACCTTTGTGTAAATATGAATCAAGAAAAGATATATATCAAAAGTTTCGCTGTGTACTTTCCAAAAAAAAGTGACCTATGTAAATCAATAAGTGTATATACTCATAAAATGTCTATAGCTTCATGCATTCATAAGAAAGACCCTGGGATGGCAAGAGATATTGTTATGCCTTTCTTCAATGCACTGAGTGGACGAACACCAGCAGAATTAGTACACCATCGAGAGACTATTCAGAGTCCTTTTGTGCTCTCCAAGATGAAACCAAAGCCTGATTCCATATCACTTGATTATGAGTGCCTTGGTAAGTTGTGAGCAAGGACAAATTCCAAATGATCTGTCCTATATTGCAGGTTTTTACATGTCGTGTATAAGTAGATCAAGTGATACTGCATAAATGGTGTTGCATTTTTTTTAAAAATTTAAAAACAAATTAGAAATGATACATCTGATAAGCCCCCCATCCCCTGTAGCTCCGGCCTGACCTCTTACCTCCCCTTTTCATTGAACTTCTGAGTGTGAGGTTTGGTATTCAAAAGCACTCAAACTCGCTTAAAATTATGTGACTGGAGGATGCATAAAGTTGTATGGTACTTCTTTACTACCCTTGTGTTGTTGAGAGGAAAGGAAGTAGCTGAGCAAAGAAAAAAGTTAGCACTGGAAGTAAGAACTGTGAAAAGATGTGAGCAAGAACAAAATTACTAGGTGTTATAGGAAGAAAAAAATGTCAAAAAAGAAGTGTTTGAGGTTGAAAAAGTAAATGGAGGGTATGACAACAATGTTTACCAGGCAGGAAATTGTAGATCTGAAGAAAGTGAAATTAAGAATTACAAAAGGTGATGGGTGATAAAGGCTCTCAGTTCGTCATATGAACAAACTGACTGGTTTGCTAATGGCCAAATGGACACAAAACAGATAATTCAAAATAAACCTTCCGACTTAAATTCTTATTGAGAAGTGCAATATTATCATACTTCACATTACCATAATCTGTTGGGTTTTTTTAATGTATGCAACATTAAAGGAATTGTATAAAAAATAAATTGGGAATTATATATCTTCATTATTTTCTACTGGTATTTAGATGATTGTTTTCTTTCCTTTTTTAAATTTCAGGGTCTTCCAGAGTATATGACATCTGTGAAAATGTCAGCACTGAAATTTCATCAAATTTATTGATCCAGCTTATTTTCAAAAATGAAACATTCTCCGCTCAACCAGAGAGTTCATCATGTTCCTGCCAAATTACCTCCAGGAGCAACAATTCAGCAGAGGTCACCCTCTCAGCGTATGATATCCGTATATCCAAAGGAATGTCTCTAAACATCCATGGATGTGACGGCACAAACAGGTAATCCTACCATCATTATCGTCGTCGTCAGCCTTTTTTTTACCGTGTGCTGGGGTATAGACCACTAACAAGAGCTCTTCATGTAGGCTACTTCTGTCCTGGACTTTAATCTACATCCTATTTTTATCATTTATCTTTTAATCCTTTTAAATACTGAAATATTTACCATGACATGTTTAACTTTACCATAAGGTGAAATCAAGCCATGCTCTGAACTGTTGCAAATGCTACCAACTTGTGTTTTGCGTGCTCATATGACCTTATGTAGTTACTACTGCCATAAAACTTCTAACTAAACGAACAGTCTCCATCCTTGTCCAGCTGTATCCTATCTCCTTTCGGTTGGAATCTGAATCCCTCCTCCAAGTGCAGTTAAACTGGAGAGACATTAATGAGATACGCCAGTCTACTCCAAGTCCCACTTGATCAACCACAGTTTACTGTGATGAGGCAAAAGCTTAGCGTACCCACCTGATTGGCGATAGTAATGGCAGCAGTGCAGGCATTTAGATCAGACAGTGGTACATGTATTTTTACATTTGTGTTGAGTGGGTGGGTGTATTTCTTCAAATTGCATTGTTGTTTAAATTGAAGAATGTTTGCCACTATAAAGATTATGATTGACAAGTAAGTCGGGACAGCAAGTGACAGACATTGACAGCTAGCCACTAAATATTAAGATCAAACACAGGAGGATGGATCAAAGGCGGAGGTGTTTATGCATGGGATGCACCATTTAGATCTTGTTTCATTTTGACTGGTCGGCCAGAACTTTACTTTAAAATGTATGAAAAGAGATTGAGATATTCAATATTTTATTCCCTTCCATTTTGAAACCCAACAAGATGTATGTAATAGAATTTTACAACATCGTCATTCTTACCGAAGAAACAGTACCTTTTCAGGGTCAATATTTTTAGTGTGGTTTATGACAGTTCCGAGCCTGTATAAGTCTAAACTCAGAGTGGAAATGTAAAGTTCCTTCAGAGGACCAACATTTTAAATGTGGCCACTGACAGTGCCAAGTCTGTATATGTGCACAGGGAAAATAAAAATTACAACTACCGAATAAAACAACATTTTAATGCAGCCAATGACACTCTCAAGTCAATATAAATGTGAATTGATCATTGTCATGAGGAGACAAGAAATATAGTAGTTGTAGGCCTATACCATCCACTAAACTTACTAGTTGTCAGAACGATCCAGAGGTATAAGACTGTCAACTGAACTAGAAACATAACAATAGACCAGTTATAAACCAGCACCCATAAATGATTGTTATAATTATTGAAACTTATGTAAAAGAACAATTTTTCTCTGTTTAGCAAAGAGCTGACATGTTCAGTTGATCTAGACTGGTGTTGTTCCCATCCAAGTTTTCTTAACCCTATAGAACCTATGGGAATGCTTTCCTTTACCCTGTGAGGGGCAAACATATGCCTCAGCATGTCGCTACCCCAGAATTACAAAGTTCTGTCTGCTCAGTACTTAATTTTGAGCAATTTGACGTCAAAGATTTTGAATTTCTCATCATGTCAAGCTTTTTAAAATTCAATTCTTTTAATATGATTTTGATAACGACTCCAAATAACCTTACGATTTTGATAGAGCAGATAGAACATTAAATTGATTTCCAACCTCATGGTCTCAGTAACTCAAAACAGCCAAAAATTTCAGATAAAACTTTGTGATTCTGAGGTAGCATTGTCCTAGAGTAAATGTAGCATTTGACACAAGGGAGCTCCAGTGTGCGAGTCCTGTGGATCTCAAGAGTTTTGTTATATTATGATGATATTGTCCGAGACGTCTACCTGTCTAAGACAACTACATTTCTGCTCTACAATAGGTGGCAGTCTTGGACAATTTCAACATTTATTCATTCATAATAAAGAATTTAGAAAAACAATAAATTCTGTCCAGCTACCTGTGGCAGCTTATACAGTGGCATGAAAATGCAATCAACCTATCTTCATGTTAAAGCCTCGCACAACCCACTAATGTAGCATACCGCTAATAAAATCTGCCATAAGAAACAGATGAAAAAGATCCCACCCTAATCACCCTACTACATGCTAAATAGAGCAGACAAGGTCACAATCTTTTAACTCCGTTGTGGCCACAACAGACTCAAACACCATATACACTAAATTAAAAGTGGGAGAGTCCACGATCTGCGAATGTGGACACAAACAAGAGGATGCCAACCATTACCTTCAGCACTGCCCGCGCGGCGCCACCCTTCGTATACAGACGTGGCAGAATGTGACGCCCCTTGAGAGAAAGCTCTATGGCAGTCTCTCAAATTTGAAGCGCACTGCACAGTTTGTGCGCGACAGCGGATTGACTGTCTAGCTGCTGTCATCGAGAACAAGGAAGAAGAAGAAGAATGTAGCATACCAATTTAAAGCTACGAAAATGTTGCATCATCTGACACATTAATATTTCATCTTCCTTAAAAGATGCCTAAGATATGATCACCTCAAAATTTACCTTAAAAAATCAGGCTTAGCAAAATTGTGTGAAATCAAAGAAACATAAAAGTGTGTTCGCGCAAGTGGGCCTGTTGAGGTGCATCAACATTGGTGGATTGGACATAATGTATTGAATATCAAATGAAAAGAGAATATTTAAATTATTATCTCTGCAATGAAATGCATCTTCTGGTGCTGTTTTCAAACAGATTAGAAAACATAGTGACTGAGTAGTCACAAATTCCAAACAAAGCCTGAACTTAACGTTACATGTGTTCATTGGTATGATTTTGTTTTTGTTTAGGAACTATTGGTTTCGTGTAGAGCATGAAATTTATTTTGCACATGGACTGTGTTTGTTAGATTTTGGATTGATCATCTGTCACTGAAGAGTGAGGCCACAAAACTGCCATGGTTTTGGGTTGTCTAGGGTGGAATAAACAAAACTGCCCTCATGTGATTCACAGGATTGCTTGGTTCAGTGTACTACATCACGCACGTGCTTGAACATCTTGTCTTACCCTTATTTTCGTCGCAGCGTCGTTCAAGTAGACATCTTCATTCATGGAAAGCACTTTCTCACAGGGCCAATACCCTTACACAATTCTTGACAAATCAAATCATATCAGTGCTGGAGTGGTCTCCAGTAAATAGCCCAGATGAATCCTACAGAATATCTGAAGTCCCATGAGCAGCTGAAGAAAAGCAACTTTACTCCCAATTCAAACCTTTTGTTTGCAAATTTTTGTTACATTTTGAATGAAATAACAGATAATTATGTCCAAAATTTATTAGAGCAGATTACCAAAGGGTTCGAGCCCTTCACAAAACCAATGGCTCCTAAGCAAGATAACAGTGAGCACGTTTAATGTTAAGAAGTTTTGCGAAGTATAAGACTGCTCCGTTTTCCGTTTTGTTTGAAACTATGGAAATTAAATTTTGTTTATTGCAGAGACAATATTATCCTTTCATTGGAAGGGCAATGTATGTCCTTTCTATCAATGTTGATACGGGGGCTCTCGTGGCCTAGAGGTTAAGGTGTTGGCCTTTCATTCAAAAGGTCCCGGGTTCGAATCCGGGGAGCGACCGAAAAATGTTCTTCTCTAAATTTGTCTCCTTTCACCTCATTTCCTGCTCTCTAGCCATGTTCTGTCGTCTGCTTTCGTCTCCTCTTTCTGCCCCCACCCCCTCACCTCCTTTGCCCCTTCCTCTGGGCTCCTGATTCTTTCTGCAGCCTTTCTACTGCTTTTCCTTCGCTTCTTCTTACTGCTGTCTTTCAGCCACACCCCTGATCTTCTGGTAGGAAAGACCTACACCTAGCCTTCTCGGACAAGGGCAAAAAATCTCGGAGGGCCCGTGTGCAAGTTGCGCACGTTAAAGATCCCTTGGTGGTCTAAAATCGATAAGAGTAGGCTTCGGCCGCCACCCGGGCAAAATTCAAAATTTCCTACCAACTGAAAACATTAGGTGTGTCCCGCGCACTCATATGACCTTATGCAGTTGCGAGCGCCGTAAAACACTTTACAAAAACAAAACAAAAACAAATGTTGATACTCCTCAATACACGCACAAAGGCAATTTTACGTTTCTCTAATTTTGCTCAAATTTGCCAAGATTGACTTTTAAGGTCAGTTTTGAGTGACCATATCTCGGGCTTCTCTAAACATAGATAAGCTATTATTTTTTAAGATGATGCACAATTCATTTTGTTATTTAGCTTTAAATTGGTATGATGCGTAAGCGATAGTGCAAGGCTTTAACACGATGATTGGGTAATTACATTTCAAGTTTCTCTTGGACACCACTGTATACAGTCGACTAAGGATGAGTTGATGTCATCGGTGGAGTGGAAAAAAGATCAGCTCATCAGACGTTCAACTTAACCGTCGGGATGAAAACTTAAACGTTTCATTTACAATTTAATTTGATAGAAAGCTGTGACTCCGGGAGGTACTGACAATTCAACTTCCTACTGATTTGTTCATTAATATGATGTTCATGTTTCAAAGTGAAATGGAACTGTGTGAGTACAGTCATATGACCCAGTAGTTAATCAGTCAGTGTTACCATGTCCAACTCACTTTGGTTAGATAGACACTATTTTTATAAACTTTGGTGAGTCCTTCTGCTCCATTTTGCAGAATTTAAAACTATAAAATGTATAAATGTACACTGAACTACAAACACTTGATTTGTACAAATGTTCTCAGTATTTATCAATGGTAAATGTAAACATTAACTTGGATGAACTCTCTGTATTTCGTGTAAATCTTATACTTATTGTATCTCTCCCATCTCAGGGTAACAATCAGTGATGAGAAGCTGCGCTATTATCTTGATGGAAAACTATGCACATCCTCCTCTGTCATGACATTGTCTCTTTCTGGTGTCAATCCAAACTTTATCCCTGACAGTATCTGGGCTGGTGTTAAAGGTGAGATTACTTATAATAATAATAGATAGCATTTGTATAGCGCATATCCCCGCTCAACAGCAGGCTCTATGCGCTTTACACTATATTATTGTGTAACTACCTGGGAATAAGATAAGATAACCGTTGAAGGGAATCTTGGTCCAACCTTAGTCAGGGAACCCCATTATTACTCTATGGGAGCCTGGAGGAGCTGCAGCAAACAGCAGCCTTCACTCTAGAGACTGGAATGTCTATTTAAAGTTGAACAAGAGGAAGATAAAATGCGATATAATAGACTTTATTACAAGTTCCTCTGTTGTATGAAATTGACAGAGCGCTTTCACCAACTTCTGTGACACAAAGTACACATGCATCATGTCATATCAATATATATATATCTCGTTCTCTGTCTATCTCTCTCCCCTGCTCCTTCCCTCCCGCCCTCCCTAATAATACATAACATGGTAACTCGTTGAAGTAACACAAGGCAATATCATCATTGCCTTTCTCACCCTGGATCCTGATTTAGGCCACGAACAAACACTTTCCATCTTTCCCTATCCTGGGCAAGTGGCTTGATGTCACTCCATGTCTTTCCACTTTTGCAGGGCAATATACATGACATAAAATATGAGAGTGAGCGACTTCTTTTTGTTAAAATTAGAGCTTTGAATAAAAAGGATATCCTATACCACCCTTTCTCTCTTGCCTTAGTTGTGGATGAATTAATTGATTAAATGTATCTTCTGCCCTCAAGATTTTATGTGCTAGAACAGAAGGTGCATAGAACCTGTTAGTATCTTTAGAATTTTTGTTATTTCAGTACATTTCGCTGCTGCTGCTTCTGCTCAGCATTTATTTTATATGTATCATAAGTTTTATTTTTTGTCATGGTACCAGTACTATGTCTTCAAAAGTAAGTTCATGTGTGTAGGCTATACAAATATTTTAAGGAAAATTGTTGACAAGTTGGCATGAAATGGATATAAATGAAAAGTCATAAGCGTAGGTGAATGGACCTGTGTAGAGAAATTAAGATGTTCATGATTTTGAATGAGACTGAAAATATTAATTTTGTGTTTTAAAAAAAAGCAAACCTGATGTCTTTCACTTTGCTTGTGTAAGAAAGGAGTTCAAATTTTAAATATGTTTGAGCAATTCTTTTGTCCATGTTTTATAGTCATTGTCAGGTTTGATCATGTCACATGCTCGAAGAGTAAATCAAGTTTTTTGTTTGTTAGAATGCTGTTTAAATTTATGTTTTTAATTAGTTGCTTTTTTCACAAGCCCTGAGGAGAATACTTTTGAGAAATTCTCAAGTGTCTTGATTCTCTCATGAGGACATGGCAACAAGCTCTTCTTACTCCTCTCCCCCCTTTCTTTGTGTGGGCTAGTCAAGTCTTTCTTCCCACTTTTGAAAACTCTAAGCAAAGGTCTAGGAATATAAACAAAGTGTGTCAGCTGCTTTCTTCAGCTGGTTTGTTATCACTGTGGTGAAGTCTGTGGTCTTCTCCTCCCATTTCTTTCCAGTGTTTCTCTGAACTTAATTTTCTCATTGTGGAAATATAACTGTTGTTATTATAATTGCTAGATATAAGTATCTGACTCACTGTAGACCACAAAATGTCTATTTCAGGAATGTGCTATTTTATGTTTGAGCAGCAAGAGATATATATATATATATCCATATCATTATATATATAAAATAAGGAGAGTTTTTATGAAATAGTTAACGAAAGATGTTACCTCTGAAGGTATTTATAATTTTTGTAGTTGGTTTGGCTATAATATATTCAAGAGCCCATGGACATGTTTTCTTGATGATAGACATGTTATAGTACTTTATATATATATATATTATTTTTTTTTCATATTTGCCTGTTAAAAAATACAGATGAAAGTGATTAAGTTGAAAAAAGTGTTTATTTGGGATATTCTCTGAAGGCTCACAGAGTTTTGCAATAACTCTGTCTTGGCTAGCCTGATATTTCAAAATCACTACTTCAGTGCGAAGAGATATGCAGTGTTGCAGCCTGTTAGATGTATCCAGCTGTTATTCACATAACATGTACCATCTTTTCTTGTTTGGAAACATCTATTTACATTTGGGAGAACTGAAGAAAATGAGATAGAGAACTTTTCTCAATAATTCATGGTCCTATCTGATGGAGACAGGAAGGCAGAAACTGAAATCACACGGCTATTTTTTTCCCCCTTGAGAGTTAAGTTCAGCACCCTACTGCTCTGTCCTTGTATACTTGTGTTGAATCTATTTTTCAATTTTTTCAAGTCACTTTTGTGACTTCTTGTTTTACCAGTGCTGCCTTAACCAAATTTCAGACTTTTTAGAAGTTTTTAAAATCTACTAATATAATATTTTTGCTCAGGGACAGACCTGACGATCACCTGTGGAAAGCAGTTTGGAGAAGACAAGACCTTTCTTCCTGGTGTATCTGACAGTGAAGATGGATCCTTAGGTACAGTAATATTCTTGAAGAAAGAGAGAAAAATATCCATCAATATTCAGTTTAACATACTATGATGGCCACTTGTTCAAGACAATCTCAAAAACCATTTTTACATTTCTCCCCTTGTGGTTTTGTTTTATATAATGATATTGCTCAAGATATTCACCTATCTAAGATAACCACTTTTCTCTTCAACAATGGGTGGCAGTCTTAGACAATTTCAACATTTATAAATTCATTATAAAGAATTTAGAAAAACGACTAATTGAGGTTGGAGGGTGCTCTGGTGTGGTTTGCTCCTTCTTTCCTATCAAACACCTATCGTCCTGATGTCTCCTTCTTTTTTGTGTTGGTTATTCCCTTGTAACACCTCTAATCTTCAGCACTTTTAGTATAGGCCTATGACCTCATTTTGTTGCAAGTGCCGTAAAACTCTTAATAGAACAACGAATTGATTCTGTCAAACTACCTATGGCAGCTTATTGATAGTAGTAAATCTCAGGTTTTCTGTAACAGCGTATATAATTATTTGTCATGCCGTACGTTTTCTTCATTGGGTTCATTTGCTCCTTCTCTTGTGTTGTCACACAAAGTTTCTATATAAGCATGTATTTAGGTTTGTGGTAGATTTACTCATAATTTGATTTGTTTGTAAAGTGATTATGACCAAACTTTCATGCTCCCTTTTTTTTAGTCATTCAGGCAGCCAAAATATTTACATGGCTGATTTGAGGGTGCTACGGGTTGGTCCTACTTCTTCTCTTTCCCTGTTTTTCTTCTGTCTTACTTTTCTTTGCAAATGACCATTATTGTGTCGATGGGCTTCACCTGCAAGTCCAACCGATATTCTCATTTTCTTTGCTAAAAGGATGATTATAAAAAGTAATTCAGAACCTTTTTCTGCAATATGACAAGATGTCCTTGTGGCAGATAGTTAAGGGTTCATTGAGTGTCAAGGTTAACACACTTGAACCAATTTTCGTGTATTTACAGGATGTCCCGCTGGCGCAGTGGCCGAATCCAGTGTATTTTCGAAATACGCTTTTTCGATCAATATCTCCAGTGTTTTTCAGTTACAAGGAACAGGAAGCCACAAACCAACAGTTGACGCACTTGTTTCGTTGTGTTAAAAATTTGGCGAAGTTATGTGCAATACTTTTTTAGCTTTAACCGACTAAGTCTGTCACCCCCGCATTGCAATAGATCATTTTATTACAAATTGGGCAGCACAAAAAAAATTACGTAACCCCAAGACATTGCCTTTTCAAAATATTAATTAAATATAAACTATTCTGATGAATCCGATGCGATTTTCTTTTTCTGTGAGAGCATTTCTTTCTTTCTTTTTTTTGCATTAAAAAAACTATGATAGCTTTCTCTGTCTTTTTTTTTTAGCGATTAAATAAACCCAAGAACTGTCAGGGTGCAATTGTTGTTGGGTGAAAAATAGCTCAGGCACAAGTTAGTTAATAGGCAAAATGCACCGAGAAATGAACTGTCTGCATAGTTGCTAGTTTGTACCAAAATACTTTAGGAAAAATGAAAATTCCCCAATTTTGTACTGACACAAAACAAGAGGAAAATTAGAGTACAGTCGAAACTGTCTAAGACAGCCACCCATTGTCAAGGAGAAAAGTAGCCATTTAAAATAGTAGGCTGTTTTACACAGTGTCATTATAATGTAAGGAATATGCAAGGGAGGAAATGGCCGTTTGTACAAGGAATTTTCTTACACAGGTGGGCATTAGAGCTGGTTCAACTGCATGTCTCTTTTTCCCTTTGTTTTGACACAGGTACTGTGTACATTCTGTGTATTGTGGTTGGAGCTGTCCTAATCATCGTTCTTCTGCTGACAGTAGCACACTGTGTACGGAAAAGGTGAACTCTCCTCTCACTAAAATGAAGCTGTTTCGTAGCAGTATACAGCAACTTACACTTTTTTGACTAGGAAAGTCAGTGTTAATGAAAACAGATTTTTGTCGCTTTAAGAAAATGATGATGATGATTTTAATAATTTATAATGATGATCAGTCGTAACTGATATCATTAGTAAGAATAAATCAAAATTTTAAAGCACTGAGAAAGTGTGGTTATCAAGTTGTTTTAAAGGTATTTTTTCATTAAGACATGTTTACTCTGGATTATAATTATTATTATTGTTGTTGTTGCTGTTGTTGTTGTTATATATCTTATTCATTAGTTTACCTAGGTTGAGCACACCAAGACCTTATGTGTGTTTAGGCCAGTACTGGGAAAAAGCAAGTCAGGAAATAATTATATTTCAATCCAAGTAAAGAAGTAGGAACCACCTTCACATCTCCCAGTACAAAGAACGGAGACGAACAGAGGAGGGATTGAGTTGAGCTGTAATATACACTTACACTCACAAACAGACCTACACTCATATATATATATATATTCATATTATGATATAAATGGAGAATTTTTGTTAACAATAATGTTTAAGCTGTATGCTTACAAATGGATGAATCCACAGGCTCAGAAGCTCAGGAAAGTATGTAACGGATTCAAGCTTATCTGACGGAGAACATGAACCAGATGTTCCAAATGGCCCTAACTTCCCTATGGAAGTTATTTACTCCCAGCCTCACAAGCCGGCCCACTCCATGAGTAAGGACGAGAGTGAGGAAAAACTGCTCAAGGGGGAGACAGGATTAAAGCAGGATGAGTACTTTGAACTTGAAAATCAATATGAAGAGACGGGTCCTGGCAACAACAACTATAAAGGATGTGAAAAAGAGAACTCTGAGAATAATGAACCAGAAGTCCGTCCTTATTCTTTTGCTCACCAGGTAGGCCTACAGTGTATTAAGCTTTTGATGTATGAATCACAAGAAGGAGAAGCAAATTGTACGTGTGTTTGTGTATGTGTGTATGTTTTTATATTGTACCAAATATTTTGGTATCGTTTTGTTATTTTGTTATTTCCCCCTCTGTTTGATTCAACAAGGTGTAGAAAAAGAAATACAATTGATGGAAGGGTTATCTGTTCAAAAATGGGAAAGTGTCCAAAATTATCTTCTCTTTATAACAGTGAAACTCGGATATAATGAAGTCGTCAGGCCTGACCTTCGATTTAGTTGAATCCGAGAGTTTGTTATAGCAATATGAGCGACAAGTTGAGACATAATGTAGGGCATATGACAATGTCTGTTCCCACAGACCAGCGCACAGTTCATTACGTAGATTAACATCTATGTCTTGTTTAGCCTTTCATTGTCCAGTAGCAGGAGGGAGAGGGTGGATATGATTGTGACTCGTCTATAACTTTCCACTCCCAGAACACTTGTGTCTTCCTTCCTTTATGACTGCATTGAATTTGATTTTTTTCATTTTTGTGTTTGTTGAATCCAAGTTATTTTGTTTGTTTTCATTAATTAAAAAACAAACAAGGAATCTGCTTCCATTAGTTAAATCCGAGTTCGTTAAATCTGAGTTGCACTGTATTAACATGGGATAGAAATGATTTGAGGGTTGTAACATCTAATAGTACTGTCGAAATTTTGTCCCGTGGGCTTCACTTCCCTCAATGTGTCTTAGGTTTTAAGAAACAAGATGTTTGTAAAGGAGGGAGGAAGAAGGAGAAACATTAACTTGTTTTCAACTCTTATATCAAAACTCTTCTCAACTCAACTTATGGCATGTTTAAATGTCTTATTTCATAATTCTTCATCAATTGTTTGCAGATGAAGAAATATTCAACTCACAGAACTTGTACAAAATCATTGCAGAAAATTTCAACTCATTTTTATTCTGGTTCTTGCCATGCCATGTTTTGTTTTTATTCTTTATTTTATGTATTCATCCACTTGTTTGTGTTATAAATTTTTTTTTTTAAATTTACCAGCTCCGCAGTCAATTAATTTATTTGTTTGTTTATTCATTCATTTCTTTCTTTTCTCCAGATATCTGCACCGCTGCAGAAAGCTCCTATTCCACTCCCCAGACAGGAAAGTCGTTCCAGCAACAGTGGAATATACAACCACTTGAGGGAGCAACCTGATGTCGCTCCTCAGAACATCTATGACAGTTCTGGAAAGGATGATTACTCCTCCTTTCAGAGAGAAGCAGCTCCGACTTTGACAGACAACATATATGACAAAGCTTAATAGACTATTTGAATTCAATTCCACGCTCTTCATCTGTTGACATTTCATTTGCCCGATCAGTTTTGACTTTCTTCAATATTTGACATACAAATAATGAAAGATGAATTGTGTTCCTATTTCCCCAAAGCTTTAAGTATTTTATATTCATGTATACAAGCTTTTATATCTTCATCATCTCCCTAAGATGTCTTGTCTTCCTCTCTCTTTTTAGCGTCCTTCCTGCAAGGATTTTTTTTTTTCTAAAGGGCCCGTAAGCCTGTTTGCACACTTAACCACTCTGACTGATAATCTAATTTTTAGCTGAGAGTTCATTTCGTTAGCAGATTTTGTAATGTTGATGTAGATGTAACTGTTTGCAAAAATACTTGTACAATCATAACACTTTTGATTCCGAGTTCTAATAATTTATTTGCCATTCGGCTACCCCAACCCATCCCCACTTTCCCAGTGTATAAACACGTTAGGAAGACAATCAGATCCTGACACCCAACAGTCTTCATCACTACGTGCAGGTGTCTAACTGGGCTCACTGTGCAGAGGGCCCTTGTAATCGCTCAGTTTAAACAGCTTGCCCTTTAAAAAAAACATTAGTTGTTCAAAAGCTAGGGGTAAGGCCACATTAGTTTGACAAGGTGTTAAAAAAATTCCTATGCTTTTGCATTGTGGGTGTTGATTTTGGCCAATGAGATAATTAAAAAGAAAAATAACGATTAAATTTGAAACATAAAACAACCAGCTGCAGAGGGCAACATAGTGTGTAGTGATGCACAATCAGGATCACAACCTTGTGACTCATGACATATCCCATCGGGTTTTGTTTCTGCAAGATTCGAACTGACCAACCGACAATTTATTACTAGTAAACTACCCCCTCCCCCAACTTCTTTTTTTTCCCGAACTCCATAAACGAAAAGCTATTCGAGATCTCTTTCATCATGCCTTTGCTTACGTTGCCGTTATACTACAACCCCTGTCTTTGACACCCCAGGAAAAGGGACTTGTCCTTACCATATTAGGACTTTTATCTTGCATTTCTCTTCATTTCTTTTTACTAGCTCTGCTGTCTTAAGAAAAGAATTTACTTTGAAAATAGTTGGACATTTTTTCTCCTTGATGAGTGGAAACCCTGAACAGTGCGTACCATATATCCCGTTTATTTTGCCTCTTAATGATGGGTTAAGAAATGAAGAGATTATTCATCGATCTGCTAAGTTCTCAGTGCTTCCCAACTCTTGTCTCTCTCTCTATCATGGGTGGAAGAGTTATGTGGTGATTAAGGAGATCAATGAAAAAACTGGAGGTCTGTAGGTCACTTCATGTTGTGCTTTAGTTTTTACCCTAGCATCATTTTTTATGCTTATTATCTCTTTGGTACCATTTTTATTATTGAGTGAGAGGCGATTTTCTTTTCACATCATCGTCACCATCATCATCATGATCATCATTGTTGAACAGTATGAAAAACACAAGACTTGAATATAGTTTAGAAAATGCTTTTTAGTTGCATCATGTTGTATCATCATCGTCATCATCATCATTTTTATCATTTTTCTTTCACAACACTCAGAGCTTTTATGTTTGACTAGCTGGGTACCCCGTTCGATGAACAGACTCAAAAGAATCGATCTTCAAGTCATTGTGGGAAGATACGTACTGCTTGTGAACGGAGGCCTCCCTCGTTTAGAATGGCATCTTAGAAGATGGACTTTCCCAAGATTTGATCTAAACGAAACTAATGAAAAAACAAAAATTAAACTACTGTGACTTCAGACTCCTTAATATAACTGTGCACCCTTTAAATGGTCTATCACAAAGATTTAAGATATATATCTTCTAAGTCTAATTACCACAGAAAAATACAACTCTGTAAGTGATCCGCAACATGAAGTTCGAAAAGGGAGGTTTGACATCATGAAATATTGTGTCGAGAAAAGATTTCCGGTTTTTAAGTAATGAGACTGCGAAATTGTTGATCGTAAGTTAGCCTATGCCTAGAACTGTGTGTGGACGAAACAAAGCATTTAGGAAAAATCGGGGAAAGCAGTTTGCGTTGATTTTTTAAAGTTAGGTCCTAGCTACATGGATGCTGTGGACGCCTGCAAAGTTTTAAAAGTGTGGGTTAGGTAAAAAGGGAGGAGTTTGTGCACAAAGCCTCCAAAGTCCACTTTTATATATATACGAGGGCTGTCCCACGGAAAACCGGAATTTGGCTGTAATTTGAAAACTATTCAATATTTTCCCATTCTGTAAACGCACACTTGTAAAACAATCATTTAGAAATTTCCCGATTGAGCACCATGAGCATCCCACAAACCAAACGAGCACAGCAGTTCTCAAAAGATGGCTACCCCCTTGGAAAATTGGTCAAGGGTAGAAGTAAGGTCTGTCATTCGGTTTCTGACCGCAAAAGGTCTCAAACCTCTAGAAATACACACTGAAATAAAGTCAGTTTATGGGAAGAAAGTAATGGCAAAGTCACAGGTATATGAGTGATGTAGTAAGTTCAAAGCCGGGCACTCCGATATCAATGACAAAGTTTACCCAGGATCTTGTTTTTCTGCCAAGACTGAGGACAACAAGAGTCGCATTAACGAACTTATTCAAATAGACGGGCGCCTAAAAATTCGCAAAATTTGCGAGTCGCTAAACATTTCAAAGTCGACTGTCTATTGGATAGAGTTTGATGAGCTGCACTATTGAAAGGTCTCTGCTTGATGGGTTGGGGCCGAAAAAGACCAGCGGGGTCATTTTGCAGCATGGCAACACAACGCCACACACCGCAAACGTCCCGAAAGACTGGTTCCAAAGGTTTGGCTAGGAAGTTCTACTACACCCCCCTCACAGTCCTGACTTGGCCCTGTCAGATTATCACCTTTTTGAGCCAATGAAACGCCATATTTCTGGACAGCGATTCACCGACAACGAAGACCTCGTGGAAGCCGTGAACGATTGGTTGAAATCCCTTGACGAAAGATTCTTCAGGGAGGGTATCTTCTCCCAGATCCAACGATGGGAAAAATGTGTCCAGCGGGATGGTGATTACATTGAGAAATAAAGCACATGTTGAGGTATGATGTGTTACATTTTTATTATAATAGGACAAAGATTTTTGCTTTTACGGACCTTTTCCGGTATTCCGTGGGACAGCCCTCGTATATATATTCTAAGAATAGAGACAAAGTCAAAGATATATTTGTTATTGTGAAGTCAGTAGTCTATTAGTTAGGCCACCCGACTGGTAACCGTGAGGGTGCGGATTCAGAAATCGAGCCTTAAGCCCAACATTGTGTCCTTGGGAAAAGCACTTTGCCCGAATTTTCCTCACTTTATCCAGGTGTGAATTGGTACCTGGCCTTAAACAGCGAAAGATCTTGTCAGTATGTTAGTGTTCTAGTGTCTATAAAATGGCAGCCAGCACCGTTTGCATCCCAGGAAGTTAAGATTGATTCAGAATGCTATAGGGTAGGTTCTGCTTGGGTAATAATATATATTGTAAAGTGCTTAGAGCTTGCTTTTGAGCAGGTATTTGCTGCTTGCACTATACAAATGCTATTTATTTATTTATTTATTGCGCTTCATACGAGCTGCATTGGCTAAGAAAGGAAAATGTTATAATTCTTTTTTAAACAACTTCTGTCCCAGATGGATTGTTCTGTCAATCATTTCAACTTATATAGGTAGCTCAGAGGTGTGTATTTTGACATAATAATAATAGAAATAATAAAAATAATGATAATGAAAATAATAATAATATTAATTGTATTTCTATAGCACACATCCATGCTCTACAGCATGCTCTATGAACTACACAATTACTATTACCCCCATAGGCATTCATAAAATTCTTGGTTTTTCTGGAAGCATACAGTCAAATCGACTGATTAAGAATTGGGATACTCATGAACTGTCAAGATCTTTCGCTTTCTGTTTCTATAGCCATTACCCATTCCCACCAAGGTGAAGTGAGAAAAATTTGTATAAAGTCAGAAGTGTCTTTCCCAAGGACACAAAGTCAGCCCCAGAGAGGGTGAGGCTTGCAGAGAGATATACTGATGAGACAGGATGAGTTTTTTTTACCGGTATATACATATATGTATATATATATATATACCGGTATATATATATATTTATTTATTTATTAGTAAGGAGAAAGATGGGGCCTCTTTGAAATACAGATGTTTTTACAAAGGGGCATTCACAGGAGTAGTGTAAATAAATTTATCAAAATGTTCTGTTCAGTTGATTTATGTCTTCATAATTATTCATTGCTGCCATTTATTTCTATGCACTTTCCTTCACACATGACATTATTCTAGCTCTTTTTAAAGTTATTCTTACAGATTTATAGTCATTTTCCTTAATGATAAAATTTTCAGAGCATAGGCCTCATGAGTGGTCAATTGATTTGGAAAGTATTAACAAGATTATAGATTAGAACATTTTATATATAGTCTTACAGATTAATAATTATTAATCTAGCTACTTTTGTCATCATAAAATGCATGTCCCATGTTTTTGCTGTTTGAGCATTTATACTGTAATTAGCCTGGCACACACACACACACACACACAGAGGGGGGGGATTGGATTGGGGGGGGGGGGGGCGAGCGAGAGAGAGAGAGAGAGAGATAGGGAGTCCTAGTCTGTATGTGTGTATGTTTTCATTTGTGTGTCTGTGTGTGTATGCTGTATGTTATACAATGTACGTGTGTGTTTCTGTGTGTCTGTGTGTGTATGCTGTATACTATACAATGTATATGTGTGTTTCTGTGTGTCTGTGCTGTTGTGTAACTATTACTAATATACAGTATAACACGGATTAGTCAAACACAGAAGACTTGAAATCGAACTGTACCTGCGGTCCCGGTTTTTTGCTTCTTCTATATCTTAGTAAGATATCCATTGTATCACGGATCACTCGAACTACCAAGGCCGGTCCGGACGAATTTGAGCTATCCGTGCTATACTGTAGTTAAAAAACTTTTCATATGATCATTAGGTGCTGGGTTCAATCCCCACAAGACTTCCAATTATATTCTTTGAAAGGATTTTTCACCTGACACAATCCAATGACAGAAGGACATGAAAACATAGAAGCTGCCTCATGAATCACCCGTCAGTATTGAAATATCTATAGAAAAAAAAAGTCAAAAGCTACCTCAGGTCATAAAGAGTACTTGTACCACTCTCCCTAGAAAGGATCGGATTCTGAGTCTGAGGAAGATTTATTAATGCTTTGCGTTTTTCAGAGCATCTGAGATGTTTTCTCCTTTGTTTCTTTTTCAAGTAATCAGGTTTTCTGTCTCACAGTGCAGCCAAAACTCCATGACCGTTGCGTGTCGACACCATTTATATGCCTTCACTGTTATTTTTTTAACCTGGGAGAAAAACACTGTTCACAATATATTATTTAGAAAGTAGCAACATATAGCCCTATGTCTTTGAAGGTTTTAACAAAATAAGGAGAGGTGAGAGAGAGAGAGAACTGGATGGAATGTCTTATAAATTCTTTCTGTTGCTGCCTAAGAGATTTTTATGTTATAGACCTCTATTTTAACGGCAGTTACTTTCAGCATGTAGGGTACTGGGCCAGTTGTTTTCTTCATTTTGGCCTGTGCACACTCGTAAAGTCCCTGATAGAGTGACCTTCAGTCTTAATTTGAGACACCAGTCTGCACAAAGTGTAAAAACCATGTTCCAAAATACTGAGAACAAGATGCAGCCATGATTTCATCTGTGATAGGCTAAAATCGAATAATGTTTATTATAAGGGGTATGACTGTGTTTGGTAATATGGAATATGGAGGAAAATAAAGGAGGCATGGCATTTGTGGGCAGAATTATATACTTTGTTGGAGAATTCTGCTTTTCACTGCCCTCCATAGCGATCATAATAGGTCGGAGTAATTAAATAACTCCATTGGATTTTTACAGTGAGATAGGAAAGCAGACTAAGCTTCTGTTTTTAGAGATGTTTGACACATAGATCTATATATAATGATTAGCCTTGACTAACTTAAGTTCAAATTTAAAATGACTTTTATTTTATTCTTTAAAAACTTATATCCTACAATGTGTGGAGTTTGTTGTTTTTTAGATGTTCCTTGGCTCTTGTCAGGAATGAACCTCTGCAGTTTGGGGGGGGTTTTTTGTTACCTATAAATGCAGAGCTACACTCCAGTATTTCTCCATGTTGTTGCAATTATTGTACGCTAATGACTACTGTTCTACCTTCCGTTTGTACTTTTTACTCTGAGTGTAAACATTCAGTGTTTGTGCCTTACAAATGTACAGTACTCTATTATTATTATGTGCACTTACTATGAAAAGATGTATAATCATAATATACAAAATCTTTAGCCATTCAAAACGTGTAAATCAGTAATTGAAAAGGCTCAATCAAAACCTGCAATAAAGTGAAAAACTATGTATTTAATCCAATTGTGTGTTTTTTTAATTTGTTGTAAACCAGTCTTCTTTTTAAAAAAATCAACTGTTACCCCCACCCCATTGAGTCTGAATTGGTTGATTGCAATTTTATCTACGCTACAATAATATGGGTCAATGTTTTGATTAAGGGGAGGAGCAACCTTTGATTTTGCAGATTTTGGGTCAGGTTATGTGAATTGGGATGTTGGCTGATTTTTAAAGGTCAACCAGTTCTTTGTCCAAAAATAGCAAGGAGGCAAATGAGAAAGTCTTTATTCTCCTCTTAAATTGGCTTTGAAAAAATGAGGGTGGGTTAATATTGTGAATTTTCACAATAATTGTCATTTTTCTCAAAATGTCATATTTTTGCAGTTTTTTCCCTATACTACTCCTTCCTTAGTTTTCCTCCTTTTGACATGAAACTTTCAGGAAACGTAGATAGCAAGGCTGCCATCAATGTGACGTAGAGATATTTGTGAAAAAAACACAACTGTTCCATTTGCAAGCTATTACGCAACCTAAATTTAGAAAAGTTTTTTTTATACTTTAGGAAAACTGTCATTTTTTCTTTCTTTTGCTCTTATTGAAAAAAAACTTGCTGTTACACTGATAGGGTCTGGTTCAGGTATACTCTCACCATATTAGGTCAAAATTGGTAGGTCAATAACTAGAAAGCCTTAGGGATTTGAAATCCATTGTTTATTTTCAAGATGGCAGCCGTTTCCATAGCAAAGAATAAAATTGCGTTTCAAAAGATTTTCCTATGCCTAACTTATATGTGCACTTAGATTTGATCTCGGGCAACAAACATAGAAAATAGTCCTCAAGGGTCTTTCCTCCCGTGAAGGGTTTTAAGAGGCTGCTTGTTTTCAATTAGAATCAGAGGCTTTTCTTTTCAAGGCTTGTGATGAAAATGTCAGCTATGGGTGATCTGTCTCTTCAGAGTGCGCATAGTAAAGCCTTGTTTCAAGAAAAAGAGAATTTTCCAAATGACAATCTGGAGTTGTTGATAAGTGGAAATGTTAGATCTACTGATGGAAAAGGCAAAGAAAAAAACCAGCACAGTCAAGTGTTCGGCTAAATACTGTAGCAATTATGGAGTACGGTGCCTATATCATTGAAATCAAAAACATTGTGAAATTTTGAGTATAGTGGATTGTTTGTAGACAGGTACTGGTTGACCGTCAAGTGAAACAGTAGTCAGATTTGACAGATGGTAGGCCGTCGAATAGTACAAAACATTTAGGTAGATAGTCAAGCGGACCATCAGCAATCTAGATATATATACACAGGAATGCTACATTATTAACAGAGAACTCATTAGGGCCTACTCAGTTCAGTTTAACCTTGAGAAACTGCTTTTAGTTCTTCAACATTATTTAGTGCACTTTTGCTTTAAGCAAGAGGATACAAGGAAATACTTATTGAAAGTTTCATACAAGGGGTTGCTTTATTTATATTCAGTTTTATTTTATTCTAACGGTTTATGCATCTGTTAAAATAGATTTTGGGCAAGTTACCAACCCAGATAGGAAAAGTTATCTCAGAAAAGAACAGTAACTAAATGTTACAGATTTATCCATTCATTTATTGTGACAAATAAGGCTGTTACTTCATAAGCTTTACAATAAAGCAACCCCCCCCCCTTTTTTTTCTCTCTCTGAAAAACAGCTCCCTTTGTATGAAAAACATAAATACATGTAGTGTCTTACTCTTCTTAATCTTTAGTGAAAATTTAAGGAATTCAAGAAACTATTAAAGCAACGTAACCGTTGGCAATAGTCGGGTACAAGGGATTTTATGGGATATGTCTCTTTGTTTGGTCACAAACGGGCTTATTTTGCAATCTAACATCTTATTACGCATTTCGCCAGCGCGCGCGTGGTGTGTGTGTGTGTTTGTGTGTGTATTTTTTTTACAGTTGAGGGTTTTACTGCATAAGGTCATATGAGTGTGTGTGTGTGTGTGGAAACATTTCTACCTTGCACAACACACTTGTAAATATAGAGCCATTCAGGCTATTGATATAATTGAGGGTTTTTTTAAGCACAGTGAAAAGAAGAAAACGTGCAATTAATGACATTTTGGTGATGCCTAGGATAAACTAAGGTTGAGACGAGTTATACTCGCAAATTTATACTAAACACAACTTGTTGTTTTTGCGCCCTCTCTAAGCATTACACTATTACAACAGAAGGATTAATGAACAAACATATCCAGTCACACTGAACAAGCTTATATACCGTATTATGTTTTGGTTCAATTTACAATGCCACATATTCATAGTATTAAGACTCATTTCTATAGAACTTTATTACTTCTATGAGTATCACATGTTTTAGCATTAGACTATGCAAGTTCAACTTCAACACACTGCATGTTGCATATGGTTTGTGTTTCCTAATGACTTTGTTCATCAAAATAAACTGCAAAGCTGGTGTATGCTTGTTAGTGATTAGTTCGTTGGATTTTTATTCCTTGGGGGGGGGGGGGGGGCGGCGCTCATCCACTCTGTGTCTAGTACTAGCAGGGGGATGGGGGCTCTCTGAAAAAAAACAGCTCTGTGTTTAGTACTAGCAGGGTGCCAAATTTCAAAGAAAAAAAAAAGAAAAGCAGAATGACAAAAAAAAGTTTAGTTTTACTTTTACTATAGTAAGCATTTTATGGCACTTCCAACACAATAAGGTCATGGGGTTATATAAGTACCAAAGGTAAGAGGTGTTACAAGAGAGTAACTAACACAAAAAAAATAAGGAAGGAGGGGGGATAAGGGCAGCGGATGTATGATAGGGAAGAAAGAGCAAACCACACCAGAACACCCACCAACCACCCACCAACCAGAGTGACAATGCTAAAGACAAAAGAACAAAAAATCTCTTCACTTGGGTCTGCCATTTCAGAAAGAAGGACAACAAGGTGAAAGTTACTACAGAGGGAAACTCAATACTGAAAAGGAAAGAAAAGAAGTAGGAGCTCGTTTCAGTGCATCACCCTCCAACCACCTGTACTGGGTTGTAGTTGTAATGAGCAACAAAAAGGACACAAACTAGAAAATAAAAGAAGGCACACAGTTCAAACTAATTCGTTTTTATTTGTTGAATCATTGTAAAACCAAGTCATTCAAGATTCAAAGTTAATAATAATCTTTCAAAAAAATACGAGTGCAATGGCTACTATAAAAAAGCATTCGATACTCAGTTGAAAAGCCTCAAAATTGCAAAATGACTCTCAAACATCCATTAGATTTTAAACAAGTATTCATCATACGAGTGTTTTCTCTCAATATTCACATTTTTTTCCGTCTTGGTCATCTATTGTCAAAACTAAATGAACTTCAACTTCAAACATTCCCCAATCAACAGCCAATTCACAAATTTACATTGTTTCCTTCATTCACGCATTAACTAAAGCATGGAGCACCATGAAATATTTACTTCACAAATGTATAAAAATTCACACAACAGTGTCACAACTGCATACTGCCAAATCAATATTCAGACAAATACCTGTATTCCCACTGCACACAATTCTCACATCAAGTTTTCAAACAGCAAATATCACATAACTTTTTATCTTCAACTCTACTGTAAGTGTAGCCACTGAAAACAAGATTTATTCATTTACAAAGGCCAGTTCTCTTGAATCGTGGCTAATGTGCAAAATACATTTGTCTTTTACATGACTACATATATCAGGACTCAGTACTTAACCCTTTCCAGTACTTTATGATCTTACTAAAGCACACAGAAGAAGAGAAAACACTGTACCACTACTAATTAGTATTACAGAAAATATTTCAGTCCTCAGAGAGCCTCGAACCTTCAGGAAGATGTATGATATAAAAAATAAATCCATTCTAAATTGTCAATGCTAACATCTTCCCTAAGCATCCAACTTTCTCACCGTTTACTATGTGATATACAGATAACATAATTTTAAAAAATTTCATCCATAATAATCCTCGGTAATTTTGTCTGTCATGCCCAGACGCACTCGCTCTTCCCAGTTCAGGATCTTGTGTGGCTTCTTCGTCTCCTTTTCCTTCACCAACAGCTCCTCAAGAAAGTCTCTAGTGAGTCCATAACTCTCTAAATCTTTATCAATCTCAGCCAAAACTTTTGCCTTGTGTTCATAGAATGCTTGTTTTTCTTCCTCAAATTGAGTCTGAAAGAAGATAGAAATAAGTAAAAGTAGCTGTTAAAAGAGCATTTAGTTGTGTCATGTTCAGCCTGGTGAACTTATGTCTGGAGGGGAACATAATTGGTGTTCGTTTAGTTGAAGGTCTATCACAATGTTTCTGGTTCAGCTGATGGTCTACTTTTCGACTGGTCTGACAGCTGCTTCAGTTGAAGGTCTGTCCGATGTTTATGGTTTACAGGCTTGGAAAAACATCATAGGCCGTATTAAAATATTTTGGTGGTCATAGTATGTCATGGGAGAAGGGGATTTCTTGAAAATAGCACCTTCTGATCCCTTGTTGTCACATATTTTCAATCAGAATCTAAATGACACCGGAAAATGAAGCAGTCTATCCGCACACCCACTCACCACAATTGTGTAACACCCCCGCTTTTGGTCTACATGCTCCCACGCACTGTCATTATCGTTGCCAACCAGGCAGTACTTACCCTACACTAGACACCTAGAACTGAATACACAGTGGCCGATCGAGTGAGACTTGTGGTAGACCGACATAGCATGGTAGACCTTCAACTAAACTGGCACCACATAATTCATAAACATTGTAATATTAAAATTTTGTACTTTCCCCTGAGAACCAATGCTACAACGATTCCACTGAGGACAGAAAGAGTAAGGGCTCATTTCCATTGGGACAGAAACCAACCGACCCAATTCCACCCTTCTCTCGGAAAGTTGGTTGTTGAAATGGAGCTCCGGGTATTTTTTTTTAATCAGCGAAAATTCTGTTAAGCTGTGTCAACAAAAACGACCCGACCCGACAAAAGACGAGCCTGTTGGAAAGCCGCTTGCTGCATTTTAGCCGGGCCGGGCGGTGACTCATCAGTCATAGGCCTCACTGGAGCTAAAAAAATAATAATGCTAAGTTTGGATTAAAAATTTAACATCATATTCATAATCAGCGCCTCAAAATTAGTCAAGTCTACGCGCAAACCATGTGGTTTAAATGCATAATAACAATTTTACCAATTTTCCTTTGAAACCCATACATTTCTTTTTCCCACCTTGGGTTCATGTGAACCCTTGACTATTTTAGCCCCGTGCCGAGAACACAGCCCGCCACAACAGCGGTCTAGCATACACATCCGGGGAATAAGTAGGCCAACAGACTAGACACACAAGACAGAAATGACACGATCGATTTTCCTCCTCCCGACAAAAAAATCCAGTCAGGTCTGTCCCAGTGGACATGAAGTGAAGACTAACACTAATAACAAGACTCTACAAACAAAAACAAAGGCGAGTACAGAAACAGAGAAACAGTTGATTAAAATACCACTCATTTTCACTAACATCCAACAAGAATTTTAAGTACTATAACACACGTGGCTATATCATTACATAATTCAGAAACCGTGACCATCCATATCACCGAAAACTACAGTATAAGTTATAACCCGGATAGGTCGAACACAGATTACTCGAAATCATGCATCCGTCGAACTGTGCCTGCGGTCACGTTTTTTCTTCTTCTTTATCTTTGTAAGAAAATTACGCAAAGCTCAAATACAAACACGGAATAGTCGTAAGAGGTGCACTTGAGACAAAATAATAATAGGCCTAATAATTTTTTTTAAACGGAAAAAATACCACC